CAAACACTTGTTACTAATTATAGGATGGATACATAGGTTATATGATTCCATAATTAAATAGTTTTAGAAAGTGTGATTCAGCTCTATTGCGCAACTTTCATCTAAGTCTAACCATAATAAAGAGGAATCAGACAGTCGAAAAACTTCTAGTTTTAGCATCACGTGATAGTATTCACCAGATAATTTGATAACATTAGAATGGATGATAATGAAAGGTAAAAGAATCCTTGTGGTAATACTAGGATCCTATGAAAATTCTGAAAATAATTATTAAGAAACATTTCAGTTATTATAAACACTCTCACTCTTGGTCTCAATAAGTACTTGACCGAGGGATCACTCTTACTCTCACTCTCAGTCTTGGTATCGGTAAGTACTTCACTGAGGGATCACTCTCACTCTCACTTTTAGTATCAATAAGTACTTGACTAAAGGATCGCTCTCACTCTCACTCTTGGTATCAGTAAGTACTTGAGTAAAGGATCACTCTCACTCTAAAGTCTTAATAAGTAATCTCTCCCCTCTAGACATCAGTAAATAATTGACTAATGGATTAATAATCACGATTATCGTAAATGATAGGTGATTGTTTATAAAATAAAATCACTATTATCTGAGGGAAACACCCTAATGATATGTGATTGTTTATAAAATAAAATCACTATTATCTGATGGACATACTGTAATGATAGGTGATTGTTTATAAGATAAATTAATAATCACAACTATCATAAATAATAGGTGATTGTTTAATTATAAAATAAAATCACTATTATCTGAGGGAAATACCCTAATGATAGGTGATTATTTATAAAATAAAAACACTATTATCTGATGGACATACCATAATCATAGGTGATTGTTTATAAGATAAAATAATAATCACGACTATCATAAATGATAAGTGATTGTTTATAAAATAAAATCATTATTATTTGAGGGAAATACCTTAATGATAGATGATTGTTTATAAAATAAAATATTAATCATTAGCATATGTTCTGAAATTTCGAGAGTCAATTTACTTTCAGTAAAACTATACAATAAGAATGATTAATAATAATTAAAAATATACTCTCGATATTCTCCCAATAGTGTCTTCGTTTCAAGAACTCCTAGTTGAATTGCAGGGACGAAATTCCTTAAACGGAGGGGAATGTAATAATTGCGACTTTTGGTACCGATCGTTATTTACGAAAAGTGATCAACGTCAAATATAATAGACTTAATATGTTATATATATATATATATATATATATATATATATATATATATATAAATCAACATATGATAAAAACATAAAGTTTCATATTAAGAAAAATAGAAAAAATCAACCAAATCGTCCGTAAGTCGTAAAAATTATTGCGTCGAAACATATATATTTTATTATATATTTTGAAATTACGCGTCTCACCGATCCAAAAAATATAAATTTCGTAAAAATCCGATTTCATATGAAGAAAATATGAATTTTATAAAATATAAAAATCAGTCGCGTAGTTAAAAACTATTAATGTCAAAAAGTACAGAGAGAATGGTTGATTTTTTGGTAAAGTCACCAAAACGATCGTAGTACACTTTAAAATGAGAATTTTGGTAAAAGGAACTCCAAAATCGGAGTCCGTACGAGAAAGTTGTGCTTTTTGCAAAATCATTAAATTATACAAAAATAAGGGCTAAAAAAAGTCAGAATTAGTCAATACAACCTAATGGAAAGTTGTAGTGCTCGTCGATAGCTATGCGTGAATATAAAGAACGTCGAAAATTGAGCTTGTATGAAGAAGTTATAAAATTTTGAAGTTTTTCAAAAAGCGTCCAACGCAGGAAGGATGTGTCGCGTGCAGTCCTCTAGAAAGGTGATGTTTACCACCAGGAAAGTGACATTTCACACCCCCAGGCACCTCCCATTTGCACGGGGTGCACTTCAATTTTTGGCCTATAAATAGCTGCCAGCCCCTTTGGTTTTCCCACACTTGATCAGCCACAATTCGGCCCGATTTCTCTTCTTTCTCTGTGTATGTTTCTTTTAGAAAATCTTAATTTTAGTATTTAAATTATTTTCCTTGAGCGCGGTCGATCCCGAGCCCATGACGCCACCAACCGCGATCCTAGAGTCTAGTGAAGCACGCTTCAAATGTGAGTTTCACGGCCCCTTTTTCTATCATTTTTTATAAAATATAGGTGAGAATACATGTTATAAAACTACTTTATCGATTTTACAAAATATTGTTATTTGCAATATATTAAATAGTTTATGCGATAAATAAATTATGATAATATGCCGGTAGAAACTCTACCTAGTTTTAATGCAATGATATTATGTCAAGTCGTTATACTGGCCGAGTTTCTAATATAACCTTACACCTAGTCGTTATGATGGCCAATTCAAATCGATAATTATTATACGTCATTGTCACTCTGCACATATAAAAAGTGATATTTAGTATACATCGTCGTTACTCTGTCTGTATAAATATCGATAGCTATTATACGTCATCGTTACTCTGCCCGTATAAATATCGATAATTATTATATGTCGTCATCACTCTGCTTGTATAAATAGTGATATTTAGTGTACACCGCCGTTACTCTGCCCGTATAAATATCAATAGTTATTATACGTCATCGTTACTCTGCCCGATAATTACTATATGTCGATGTTACTGTGGCTGAACCTCTAGAGTAACATTATACCCAGTCGTAACACTAGCCAAATTTAGGATAAGACACCGTACCTAGTTGTTACTCTGCCCAAATATATTGTTTCCAAATAACCATAATTAGGGTATATATATATATATATATATATATATATATATATATATATATATATGTGTGTGTGTGTGTGTGTGTATATCGCAAAATAAATATATACATATATATACAAAATAATTATGAGATCTAAAAGATATAATTATCAAATATAAAATTAAGGGGGTTTATATTATGATAGTTATAGGAAATCACTCAATAAGAATGATAAAATATATAATCACTCTAATATAAGTATCTAAGCGGCATACTTCTGGAATAATATATATAATCACTTTAATAGAAGTATTCAATGGACATACTTCTGGAATAAAAAATATAATCACTCTAATAGAAGTATTCAAGGGACATATTTATGAAATAAAAGATATAATCATTCTAATAGAAGTATCCAAAGGGCATACTTCTGGAATAAAAGATATAATCACTCTAATAGAAGTGTCCAAGGGCCATACTTTTAAAATAAAAGATATAATCACTCTAATAGAAATATTCATGGGTATACTTCTAGATTAAAAGATATAATCACTCTAATAGAAGTATCCAATGGGCATACTTCTGGAATCAAATATATAATCACTCTAGTAGAAGTATCCAAGGGGCATACTTCTGGAATAAAAGACATAATCACTCTAATATAAGTATCCAAGGGGCATACTTCAGGAATAAAAGACATAATAACTCTAATAGAAGTACCCAATGGGAAAATTTCTGTAATAAAAGATATAATCACTCTCAATAGAAGTATTGTTTTATATAAGCATACTTCTAGGATAAAAGATGATAATAGAAGTATCCAATGGGGCCTACTTCTGAAATATAAAAGTATAAGTGCTATGTGTTTATAAGATAATAATACTATACATAAGATTATATTAAACTCCATTTGATATGAGAAAACCTAAAGAGAATGGTAGTATGTGATAAAAAGTAAAGCGTTAATAGTTTAGTATCTCGATAGTAAAATACTATTAAAAGATACCTTAACAATATAAATCAAAATACTTTTATAACTTAATAAAATTATGCATAAATAAAGTATTTTTAAATATATAACACTCAAACCTATCAGCTCACTAACTTTATGTTGACGTTTTCAAAACCTCATGTATTCCTAGGAAACCATGAGACTGAATCCTGCACTCGCGGAAGAAGTAGTTGATCGGGGAAGCACCTTTGTATTAGGAATTCTAATAATCTGATGTAATGTTTTATCTATCAATAAAAGTGACATTTATGTTTTATATTGTTTTGTATTGTTCAATAACTGTGATCCAATATGCCTATGTTGCACAGCTCGGCGTTTCCGCTGCCGACCGAGGGTGTGACATCGGTGTAGCTCATCTACCGACCCTGCGTGGTAACCATCCGCTCCTGTACTATCTGAAACAGCTTGTTTATCTTAAGCACGATTATCCATGCTCCCTAGCACTCGATGACTAAACTTGCCCCAACATGTGGACGTCTTACACTTCCTACCATATGACAGTTCAAATGGAGACCTTCCTAATGTAGATGTCTCCATGTTACCTCCAGTGTCGGTACACATACCTATCCTTATTATGACAAATAACTACAACTATCTCAATCAAGATTCGAAACCTCCCCTAAAACACTCACGTATTTGGTGTCTCATCCTGAAACGCCACTCCCTGCAGCTTTTTCATCAACTCCAACAGATGAGTAAATGTTTTCATTCATAGACACAACTCTGGAAGTGGCTTACTAGCCGACTTTCGACTAAGAGCATCAACAACTACATTTACTTTACTAGGATAGGAAAGTATCTCGCTATCGAAATCCTTAACCATGTCTAGCAACATAGCACAACTCCTTCAAGCACATAAACGAATAATCCATTAACAAGGAACTCTACCACTCCATAATGAAGTCATATCTTGATCAACACATCCTTAACATCTCAACATACACAATGGTTCTAACATACATCCATATAACTCTTAGCACTCAAGTTATCTTTCTAACAAATCAACAGTTCCAACTACATGGACGAGGCGTACCCTATACACTGGCTAGCAATTTTCCATCGATATGCCCAACTCACACTCTTACATTGTTCTACTTCACACTTAAGATCTTGTACCTCACTTTGAACCGTACATCATGGTATGATCATTAATCAATTATTGAAAAATTAGGTTAACTAATCTAAACATGCATTCAATACATACCAATTGTAAGCTCATAACCAACCATTATGGATAAATATGCATGTAACGATCACTCCACAAACTTATAGGTTTCTGATTACCATTCCTTTAGCTGACGACACCTTATTGATCTTGCTAACATCCCAATCAAGCCTGTATAGCTCACGACCAACACCTCAATGGCTTATAGGTATAAAACCATCATCCCACTAACCTGAAGAAACCCAACCATCATCCCTCATCCTATAACAGTATTAGCCAAGAATAAAATGAAAATCGAACCCTAAGGACCAAGACCTATCTGGTTTTCAAACCATGACTTGAATCTCCAAGCCTTCATTAGATAAGAATAGGCAAGGGGGGCCTCGCCTCGATTCTAAATTAGCCTATCCAAATACCTAATACATGATTCGATGTTGATGACTCAAAACGCCTGACGAACACTTACCGAAACAAGTTGCACCCAGTTTAGACAATCAATCCCACGACATTCTTGAATATATAACAGGTTGTAATGATACACCATTCCTGAGTTGAATTATCAATCTTTGAGTGTTGTATGGTTTTCCTCTTCCCTGTGTGTGTCACTTGAAAAGACTAGAAATTTCAAAAACCTGCAGCAGCTGTCTTAAGTCCTCCCTACCATCCTGAGGTTTGCGCAGTCCCTAGACCATTTTCATGGATATGTAACTCTCTCTTACTTGGAATCTGACGAAAATACACCGCTACTCCTTGATTGGTCGAATCCCATATTGTCCTAGACGAGTCATACGATTCATATTATAAGCGGCCAAACATAATACGAAACTAAGTAGACTTTTTTCTTCACCAAAAGAATTGGAGTTTCCCATGGAGAACACCTACAAACTCCCACGACCGATACAGCCTCGACTATCTAATTTTCTACATCGTCGCACATATCTGTCACGAGTGATAAATATCTGATACTATAATGCAGTAGGTAACTCTGAGCCCTATGGCAGGACATGTAATTGTGCTCCGACTAGGGCATCGCCCCTGTATTAATGGTTCTCCCCAACTTGGGTTTGAACCCGCACAAGTTTGTGATGACAAACAATCCCTGCACCAACGTACCCATCCATCTATTTTCACTGCCACATATAGCTCTTTCATCTTTATCGAAATTAATTCGATCGGTAACTTCTCACCACAAACCTCCAAGGTACAACCTCAGTAACCATAGGTAACGTTCACTGTCCTATTGTCAACGACATCAACCACACGAGGATGAAATATACTCTTTATATACCGACCCAACTGATCCCAAAAATATAATATATAAACAAATGGTAACCCAACCATCGACAATGACTAAGGTGGTTGAGTAACTAAACCTACTTCAAACTCTTAGAGTAAATATTAGCTTGGTCGGTATTAAACCGATCAAGAATATGCCCACTCTGGACAGTCATTTGGTATTACACTGCTTTATATATATGTATATATTCATCCATGCCCGTTCCAAGACCCGTCCTGAAGTAACCAAGTCGCTTCTTGCCGACAATTCTAACACCCATGTCTACACTGGCATGTGCTAATACTTCTCCTAACTCACTAGAAATCCCACCCCAACCTGTTATCGGTCGTGGAAGAAACTTCTACAGATGTCAACTAACTATCCTATGAATATAATTTCATACAACAAAAATTAAATAGTCTTTTGATTGAAAGATCCTGCACTACAACGGTTAGGCTCAAATGAGAGCTGCGGAATAGATTTTTACACCTGAACAAGTTGGACTCAGATGAGAGCTACGCACCGGGCTAAATAAGGCATTCTAGTCTATTTAGTTCCTATTGAATACAACCTAAAGCATTCACTTAACACCCTATTAGTACTAGCACAAATTCCAAATAAACACATAACAAGCATCCAACATACACCTTATGTCCTAGAAAACAATAAACCACATCAAACCATTTAACCCTTTCTTATGACTCCGACTGACTGTACACACTACGTCCTCGGTCTCTATTTCCAAAACTTTTTCTTTTGTTTTTACAAAAAAATTCTTTCAAAATAACTCTCGAGCCACAAACTTGAGTGCAGAACTCACCGAAGTGAGGTTGATTCTCTCAAGATGTGCTCTGATACCAACTTGTAACATCTCAAATTTTATAATAAATTTTTAACTTTTTAAATCAACATAGGTTTAACTAAAAATCATATCGTTTGTTAAAGAAAGTTTCAAAACTAATCCCCCAAGATCAAAGTAATTCCAAAAGCCACTTAAAGTTATAAAATTTTAGAATTAAAAGAAAACATAATCCAAAGTGTCATGAAAACTTTATCCACTCGACCCGAACCAGTATGTACCATCCCACCCTACCGTCCTAAGTATTTCTCAGTCCTGAAATAGTATTTTTTAAGGGAAGAGGGATAAGCACAAAGCTCAGTGAATTTCACACATACACAATATAATCCCATACAAGCTTTACCCCTAACACGCATGTATCAACAACACTAACCACACAACCACATATGCCATTCAAAGAACAAATCAGAAACAAGCATACACACATTAGGCCACATCGACTAATCCCAATTCCTCTTGCTCAGTGCGTTAAGCCATTGGGACATATTGTCTAATCCTGATCCCCCGAACCTAACAGTAACATCGTGATGTTTCACCCAAAAATTTTCTTTTTACTTTAAACGCGTTTTAACAAAAATACGTTAGCGGAAGTCTTATTTTAAATATTATGAAAACATCACCAATGTTACTTTATTATCAAAACAAGTCCATCGAAATAAAAAGTTTTCAAAAACCTACACCAAAGTAGATTCTGAAAACCAAATGTGATGAAAACTCATCAACATGTCTAAAATGGTATCAATACTCAGACATAAACGAGAATATAACTACCCAAAGATCCCCATCCTCTCCAGGCATCTTATCACGTTACTTGTTTCAATGCAATGCCAATAGCAAGCAAAGAAACAAGTGTCAACATAAGCTAAGTGAGTTAATCATAGTACAATGCTATAGAACACACATATCCCAAATGGGTCAAGCAAACATGTAATCAAACACTCACATAGCATGGCATCGCATACATCACGTAACCAACACACTTAAGCTCAATTAATATTATTCATCTTTAGAGCTTGTTTATTTAGTTACACTTCATTATTCATCTTTGTAACTAATTTTTATTACTTCATTCATCACTATAATATTATTAAATAATATTAATCTTCGCTTTCATCTTTAATAATTACCCTCCGCTAGTCACCTTTGTAATTATTATAATAGTACTTCCTATTCACGGGTCTAATTATTCGTTAGAAACCTCCAAGGCAAGTATCTCATTCACTACTAACACGACCGGTACGACCCAACACACTAAGTGAGGGGCGACTCTCACTCGTAACATTGCTCCCGGTTCGCTGTGTTCACTGCCTCGACGTTGCATGTACGTGTACACGCGTTGTCGTGAAGGATTGGTACAAGAGGTGCCAATTCCACCGCGTTACACCTCCCAAATCCCACGTGATGTTTTCATTAGCCCCACCACACGGCCAACATCACTCCAATCCACCCACCGCAAGGACCATGTCCCGAGTGATTGTCTAGAAAAAAACACTCGATAACTCTTTTGGATTCAACTCTTATCGTATAGGTATCTTTCAACCCACTAAGCCATCAAATAATCCGGATAGGGTACATACCTATGTCTAGGTTGCTACCCTTTGTCCCGCTAGTGTATTCCCTTTTTTAATTAATTAATTATTAATTCATATTTTAAGGAATTACACATATGACCTCCATAAGTAATCATGCATATTTATTATAATCTTTTTCTAGCATATTACTTCACAAGTTCTTCTTATGTAAATATACAAACTATGAATTACAAGTTATATCATTTTATATCACATCCAATTTCCATGCACATATCATCATTATGGATATCACTTCACTAGCATGCTTTGTCGTAAATCATCACAAAAAATATTTTCCAAGAAACCATGACATACACACATCCCATAAACATCAACACAAGACACTCTTTCTATCATGACCCTAACACACGTCTCACATCAAAAGAATAACACTACAAATAAATTTACATTTAGTGGCACAAAGTTTTAGTGGAATTTTGCTTTTGTGCCACTATAGCTTAAGTGGCACTTTTGTTTATGCCACTATAAATTATAATATATATAGTGCCATTTATAATTTATGACACTAAGTCCCATATCACTAAAAGTTTATATCTTGCTAAAATAATTCATAATATACTTAGAAAACCCAAAATGTAAAACTTAAGTGAAAAAAACTTTGAAAATATTTTCATTACCGCCTTTCATTCTACTATGCGGGAAAACGAAAATTACATCACAAGGGTTTCATTATCAGAGCTCAACTAAGAGATGTAGAACTAATTCTTCTTCGTGGTTCCCTGCTCCGCTCTGTTATGCTATTTCGCTCATCTGTTCAGACCTAATCGTCCACCTAATCGTCGGCCCTGATCCGTCGCTCTACGCTTTGCCCTAGTCGTCATCTTCCATTCAGAGCTCTTCCAAACTGCTCCGCCCCCTTCTGCCCTGGATCATCAGCCATACTCGGTGTTAGTGTAAGTCTCTCAATTCATTGTAGTTGATATAAAAAGGTCTATAAGGGTATGAATAATTGATTTTTTGCTAGGGTTTTGCTCGAGAGTTTGTACAATCAACTGGTGGTGACTTTAGATTAATTTAAGCACTCAAACTTTCAATCGTAGAGTCGATTTAATGTTTCTGAACGCAATTCATATAATAACGATTTGATACTAAATAGGGCACAAAATGGAAACCAACAGTATGGGTCAAAGTTGGGAAATAATACGGCAAAATAAAGTGTGTATTTTTATGAGGTTTTTTGGATGATTGCAACTTATGTATAGATATATACATAATTTGTTCATTTGTCGCAGTTTTGATTACTAACATGAGTGTTTTTTAGTTTCAGAAGCTATATGCTTCGTCATTGTCCTTCAAAGCTAAATTTGACTTTATTTTTAAATCAATGTGAGTGCTCTGTAACTGTGAAATTGATAAGAAATTGCTTCTTTTTCTAGAATTTGTTATATACTTTCATTTTCGTTATAATTTTTCTTATGTAATGTTACAATCACTAAAAAAAACTCAATTTTATCTTAATAATGTCAACTGATCAGTGATTTTTGTTTTAGAGTTTATGATTGCAATGACCTTGGAAATACAGGCTTGTTTGGTAAACTGATTAAAGAGCTTACTGAAATTGCGAACTTAAAATACTTGTAAGTTTTTATTTTCCTGTATCAAAGTTTTATTGTAAATTGTTTTGTTGTATTTGAGCTTTAAATATCATGCTAAACAAATGATGATATCTTATGTGGTATTTTGTGATAATAGGCTGATGAATAAGTCGTCAGTGGTTGATGCACATATAGAAAACAATTTTTATTTTGATGTGATACACGGATGAATAAATGTTTAGTGTTTAATGCATATATCAAGCATGGTTTTTATTTTCTTTTTTCACGAAGTGGAAAAGTTCATTTACAAAAAATGTCCCTTTAAATGTTACATGTGTATTTATTGTTTCATTTTTTTTTTGTATCTATTTTTAAAGGGAGCTCAAAAGAAGGGTAGGGCCATGTCGAAGATCGTCATCTGAAAGCCATCATAACAATGGTATTACTTTTAACTCGGTTAACTAAGTGTTTACCCTTCTTTGTATATGACATGTTTATTGATGATATTTCTACATGTTTTTATACCGTGTATTATGTATAATAGGCAATTGTTCATAAGTTGGATAAACGAGAGGAGCAATTACACAAATTTTGAGCTCAATCAAGTTTCGTGTTTCTTTCCAACAAGCCTTTAGTTTGATAGTATTGTGTTTTGAGTATTTGTACAACATTTAGACTTATTACATGTTTTTTAATATGGTTGTGATTTAAATGTATTGAGAATATTATTTTTAGACAAGTTTAAATTAATGTAATGATATTTTGTTTTTGTTATCTTAATTGTCATTTTATTATTTTATATTCCATTTAACATAAACAGTTGGATATAATTTATTAATACAATTACTTTGTCTTAAAAAAATGTCACTAAAACATGAAAATAATTAATATTTTTGTAGTTAAATAGTGTCATAAAAATAGTGCCACTAAAACCTACAGTGACATAATCAGAAAGTGCCACTAAAACCCAATTAGGCTGTAGCGGCACAACCAAAAAGTGCCACTAAAGGTCTTTAGTGACAGTTTTTTTGTGTCGCTGATTGCCAGAGGGGCCTTTAGTGACACTATTTTGGTTTTTAGTGACATTTTTTCTATGCCACTAAATATCATTTTATTTGTAGTATAAGAATTTAGCATGTAATCGTCCTAAATTCTCATATACATAAAGGAAGCATAGTAATCAATAGCATATCATATACAATAGGGGTACATACAACCTAAACAACCTAGGTTCATTGCAATCCATCTAAGATAAGGAATTTCCTAACAAAACACTTAAAACCGCACAAAGATTAACTCACCTTTGACAAGTACATGTTTTTCTCCACTTCGGGTCTTGTAAGTGCTTGAGGTGTCACACTCCCCCTAACAAACACAAATAAGCACATTACTAAGTATTTTTCAAGTTTAATACTTTCACGACCATGGTGTTAGTAATACAATTATGTTTATGTCTATTTCTATTTAAATTTCAGGATTTCCCAGATTGACCCCCGCTCAGTGTTTTGGGCATAAATCTAAATCTACAGCTCTAAATGGGACATAACTGGACATTCTGAAAACTAGACTCGATTTCCAACAACTTTTCTCTATGTTCCTGAATTCAGCACCGAATTTCCTGATTGTTGGTTACAAGTTCAAGGAAGGTTGCGTCTTCCCGACCGGTTAGCAACCATAAAAATACTACCCATCTATTTACAAAACACCCTCTTATGGTTTAAACTTCAACTTAATATGTATTAAGAAAACTAAATGTGTACCCACGCAAAGCAGCGACGATAAACAGCTCTTTTAGCGAATAGTTTTGTTATGGAGAAATAATTATTAGATTTTATTATTAGTTATTATGTAATAAAAAAATTACCATTTTTAAATAAAATATTTATGTTTATAACTTATATTTATATTGTCTGTTTATATATTTTATATAAATTAATTATTTTCGGTGTCTAGTTTAAGAAATATAAATTAATTTATATAGATGAATTTCATATTTTAAAATTGTCATTTTGCTCCGATTTAAATTTCTTAATGACGTTCCTTAATTCAAGTCTTCAAACTTTTGACAAGTATTAATGATTTGTTTATGTATACTTGATTTGTACAAAAAGTTGTGTGTTTTATACATTTTAAAATTCAAAATGTGACTAATATGCTTTTATAATATAATAATATAAGATATATCGATTAAATATCTTCTTTAAACACTTAAGTTATACTTTCGAAGCTTAACATTTTAATATTCATTAACCTATTACAAATCATAAAGCTTCACCGTTACATCCTCCATCTAACACATAATTAAGCTTCTTTGGTTTGTAACTAAATAATTCGGTTGCATGGATGTTAAGTAATAAGCTCATCATGCATATATATAAACAAATACCATTTAATCTATACACTAATTTATTAAATAAAACTATAACCACTTATGTAATTTAAATGATACCATCATATAGCTACGTCATCATAAGATTCATCTTAAACATTGATTCCTTAACCCAACACGGCGCCCTCGAACAACCCAATAATCCATTTCTTTCTTTCAGACCCTCCGATTAAACATATTTTTTTAAAACAAAAGTCCTCTCACTGACCCAATTATATTTGCTTGGTTAAGATCCCACGTATTCTGTCACTTTGTCTTTCTCGTTGTAAAGTGCCACTCCCATGCGTAACCATTGTTGGTCCTTTCCCCTGTCGGAACTTTCATATGGAGGAACAAGAACAGTCACGACTTGGAAATCCACTGTCAACTGTGACACCCGAACAAATTTCGTTAATCACTTCCTAACATCCATCTCTCTTGTTCTTCTCAGTTTCCAGAAGACAAACCCGATACGGTCCACCGGAACCTCGTAGATTGATTCCAGCCTCGTGATTGAAAGAAAATCGGGACGCACTATGCCTGTCTTCCTCTCCCGGTTATCCTCATCTTTCTCTCACTGTCGTATATACAGCAAACCTAATTGATAAGAAGCAATCGATCTTAGGGCTTAAGGATGCAGCATAACCGTCGGCAAGAAGCAATTGAATCGACGGACGCTTGAATTGATTGAATTTCTCAAGTTATACTAATGGTCCTCCATTGTCTCTACAATTGTGGAAAGTATAAAGAAAGCTCAGGAGGAAGCTTTAGAGAAAAATGACCGGAAGGAGGAACGTTTGGGTAAAACGTTGGTGTTTGATACAAACGGTCAAGGATTGAAGGTATTCAAAGATAGGATTTGGGTACCTAAGATGGGAGGAGTAAGAGGTCTTCTGATGGAAGAAGCTCACAAAACCATGTACTCGATTCATCCCGGCAGTACGAAAATGTATAGGGACCTAAAACCCTATTACTGGTGGCCGACGATGAAGCTCGATGTTGCTAAGTATGTGGCTGAGTGTAACTTGTGCTAGGGTTAAGGCACAACATCAGAAACCGTATGAGAGTTTAGAACCTTTACCTGTACCCATGGGTAAATGGGACGACATTACCATGGATTTTGTGACTAAACTGTCCAGAACAAGGAACGGTCACGACATGATTTTGGGTGGTCATTGATCGCTTCACTAAGAGTGCGCATTTCATAGCCGCAAACGAGAAATGGTCTATGGATAAACTTGCGAATTCTTATGTGAAGGAAATTGTGAGGCTACACGGTGTTCCGTTAACGATTGTATCCGATCGTGACAGCCGTTTTATCTCAAGGTTTTGGAGGAGTCTACAAGAGGAATTGGGTACCAAGTTGTGTTTGAGTACAGCTTACCATCCGCAAACTGATGGTCAGAGCGAACGAACGATTCAAACATTGGAGGATATGTTGAGAGCATGTACCCTAGAATTCCAAGGTAACTGGGATGAACACTTACCTCTAGTAGAATTTTCCTATAATAATAGTTTCCACTCAAGCATTAAGATGGCACCTTATCACGCTTTGTATGGGGAAAAGTGTCGAACGCCATCATGTTGGCTGGAAGCTGGGGAAAAGCAGTTTATGGGACTTGAGATAGTCCATCAGACTGCTGAAAAGTTGAAAGTGATAAGGGAGAGGATGTTAGCTGCTCAAGATCGACAAAAGAGCTATGCTGACAAGAAAAGACAACCGATATCCTTCGAAGTTGGAGATTCGGTTTTACTTAAAGTCTCGCCGTGGAAGAGACTTATAAGATTTGGTAAAAGGGGAAAGTTGAGTCCAAGGTTTATTGGACCATTTAAAGTTCTTCAGAGGATCGGGAATCAAGCTTACAAGCTAGAATTACCGGAAGAACTGGAGGGTATTCATAACACATTTCATGTGTGTTATTTGAGGAAATTCACGGGAGATGTGCCTAACATAATTCCTATTTCTGAGTTAAAGGTGGATGAAAACAAAAGGTTGATTGAAGAACTTGAGGCAATAGTTGATCGTAAGACTATGAAGTTACGACGCAAGATGGTTGATTTAGTGCTTGTGCGCTGGAAACATACGAATGGACCAAATCTCACCTGGGAAACGAAGAGTGACATGATGAGTCGCTACCCGCAGTTGTTTGGTGATGTGTGATTCCGGGGACGGAATCATCCTAAGGGGGAGAGAATTGTAACACTCGTGTTTCTAGCCTAGGGATTAATATTAAGGTGATAGTCTAGGTTAACCTTTGTAACTCATTTTGAAGAAATGAAAAAGGAATTATGTGAATTTTATGTGTTTTATGTGTTTTATGCTTAATTACTAGGAGTTAATTAATTAAGAATAAAAATGAGCGTCAAAATTAAATTTTAGATAAAGCCGATATCTATTAAGAAAGTTATAGGGGTCGTGACAAGGATTACAGATATATAAAGAATACCGAAATCCGAGTTATAACGAAGAAGTTATGACCTGTCGAAATTTCACGACAAAACCGGCGCGGTGCTGAATGTCGTAAAAAGTGAGTTTTCGATAAACTACTTTTTAGCCTTAGTGATCTAAACGAAAATCGTAGTGTTCGTTAAACCGAGAAGTTCGATAAAAAGAACGCCCAAATCTGACTTCGTATGAGGAAGTTATAATTTTTCAAAGTTTCAGCTTAGCAGTAGACAACTAAAAACTCGAATTTTAGATCGAGTAATTTTTAGCCGACACGACCTAAACGAGAATCGAAGGTCTCGTAAATAGTAGCACAACGGTAAAAAGTCTGACGAAAACGGACGTCGGATGAAGAAGTTATGAATTTTTAACGGATTTCCTGTCCCGGTCTGTTAAAAATAATAATATAAAAATTAAAGTCAAAATTAGCCGACGAAGTCTAAACGGAAGTTGTAGAGCGTAATTTTACCTACGCGTGCATATAAAGAACGTAAAAAACGGAGCTCGTATGCGAAAGTTATGGATTTTAGAAGATTTTGCACAAAAACCGAGAAAATTCGCATAGTCATGAGTTGCCACGTCACCCTCGCCTCGCATGTGCCACGTGTCCGAAATGGCGAGTCATGCGAAGCCACGTGTCGGATTCTGATTTGACCGAAGGGAGGCCCAATCCGAACCTCGCACCACGACTCGAGCCTCGCACATGGACTGCGAGTCTGCGGTCCAATCAGCAACCGCCACCGAGGCCCTCGCACGTGCTGCCATCTGCGCACCCTCGCCTGTGGACCCCACCACAAGAACCGACTTCGGACCAGTAGACCTCGGTCCAGTAGGAGGCTGCCAGCAAGCCTTCGCAGGTGCGAGCCTCGTGCGAGCCTTCCCCTGCGAACTCCGGATCAGCGACGCGTGGCCTCTTCTCAGCGGTT